ATATTTCATTTAATCCCTTCATTATCATTATTATGAGGTTGGTATTATTGTATTAGTCCCATTTTACAGCTGAGAAAATTTGGTAGAGGTAAATAGTTGTATAATGAGACTACTCGGATTTAAGCTCAGGAGTGTCCTCTGTCCAGGATAATGGTACATCGTCCATGAAATTGTTATTCCTCGGTCTCTCAGCAGTAGTCAAGACAAAACCCACAGAGTGTGAGCCAAACTACTTCCCTCCTCCTGGCCAGGTGTGCCCTGGCGTTTCTCATCATAACGTGTACTCCTGCTGCCACCTGCTGGCAGCCTCATGAGTGCTGATTTTTCTTGATAAATCCTTCAATCTTTATCAAACCGTTCGGCACCAGAAAAAAAAAAAAAGGCAAGAAGCTCCATGCAGACAATCAACTGGAAAATCTTCCCAAAAGTTGGTAAAGTGTTATGGGAATGATAATCCTCCTCATCTACCTTCCTTGGGGATAAATTCTCTATCCTTTGAAGCTGCTGTCCATTTTCATCAAATTTTATCTGTTTCTAAAGGTATTGAAAGAAAGCACAGATTCTGTGATTCAGACCATTCACATTTCAATGGTGGTCTCTGGCTAAATTGGAGTATTCCACGGCCCTAGTTTATATCACTGATCACCACTTTGGCAACTAACAACCCATCAGGTAACAAACAGGGTCTGGACCAAGAAGAGTCTAATTGGCTGGCAAAGTGAGGCCTGGCCTCCTCCCGGAGGATGGGGGTGCCCAGGGAAGCGCACCGTCGCCTGTCCTGTCCTTCACCTGGGCAGCCAGGACCACAAGGAACTCCATGCCCTTCTTCAAGGACATCACACGTACACACACCCTGTAAAACATGCTTATCTCTCATCTGGAATGGATTGTAATTATAGATTTCTGTTTTTCTTTGTTACCCTTTCCTTGACAAAACGGGGAACCCGGGGGTGGGAGAGCTTATTTCTGACTGCTGGGAAAAAAGAAAGCAGTAATTGTTGTCACAGCAATGAGGAGCTCATCAAAGCCTCATTTTGCTCATCAGCCATCACTGCCCCTCCTCTCCGTCCTGCACCCCCGCATGTTCCTCTAATTCAATGCCCGCCTAATGAATAACTCCTAGAACAAAAGACCCTTTCAGGCTGCCTACATAATTATCAGAGGAGCCTTGCATAACTGTCGCAGACGACTCATGTTTTCAGGCCTGTCTCTAAATTTGGTTATTCACAACCTTTATAGCTCAATATTATTGTCTAACTGTGATCATTTTCTAATTATCCTAATAATACCTATTAAATATTTCCCATTAAGTCACTTGCACTGGAGCAGCACAGGCCAGCTCAAATACAACTTAACCTAATAAGCATCGGTCATTCATTAAGCAACAGGGCAATCTCTTAAAGAGACTGAATAGAATATTAAACCACAAGGGAATATTGTTATGGCATAAATGTTATTACGAGTTAGAGTGTATTAATTCCGATGGCTAGTTTGCAAATCTTCCATGGGGGGTTCCTTTGAGGCCACTCTCCATGACTTGACTCTGGTGGTCTCCAGCCCCTGGCTGAGCTGCATCTGTCACCCACACAAGGAAAGGCCATGAACTTAACAGGGTAATTAAATTACCAAGGGTAAAGGGAATGAGTAGAATCTATCTTCTAGATGGCTTGGCACACCTGTGAGAACAGTACAAAGCGGTCGGGTTTCTTTAGCTACAACTCAAAGCAGCCCTTTCTTTTCTTTTCTTTTCTCCTTCCTTCCTTCCTTCCTTCTTTCCTACCTTCCTTCCTTCCTTTCTTTTTTTACATCTGGAGGATGAGGGAGATTTTTAAAAAATGCTTTAAAAATCTAACTTCTAGGCTCGACGCCTATAGCTCAACCGGCTAAGGCGCCAGCCACGTACACCTAAGGTGGCAGGTTCGAATCCCCAGCCCGGACCCGCCAAACAACAATGACGGCTGCAACCAAAAAATAGCCGGGCGTTGTGGCGGGCGCCTGTGGTCCCAGCTACTTGGGAGGCGGAGGCAGGAGACTCGCTTGAGCCCAGGAGCTGGAGGTTGCTGTGAGCTGTAATGCCACGGCACTCTGCCCAGGGGGACAGCTTGAGGCTCTGTCTCAAAAAAAAAAAAAAAAAAAAAATCTAACTTCTATAAATTGCAAGCGGTAAAGATTAGAGAAACATTGCTTTAAAAGCGTCTATGTGTAGACATTTCATGTTTTGTAAAATAACATAAGGTAGTGTTTACTGAATGCCTGCAGGGCAACAGATGTTCTGGCAGGCACTTTGCCCACCCACACCCCTAATTCTCAAAATGACTGGGTAACATGGGGATTATTATCCCCATTTTTCAGGTAAGGCATCTAGGTCCAGAGAGGTGAAGCGATTTCCCCAGGACTATACAGCCTACATGGAGTGGAATAGAACGTGAACACAGGCCACCAGGTTGGCAATGCGTTGCTAATGGCAAACCGAGACATGCCCTAGCTTTTCTGCTTCATCCTTGCCTTTTCTAATGCTCTCCACTGAAATCGGCACATTCCTAAAGACAAGTACCAGAGCCTTCTTGATTGGGACAATGACCAAACACCAGACCAGGGCAGTTCATTCTACTGAAAGTCCCAACAGCAGCTGCTGAGACAGGCAGTGACTCTCCCTCCAGGCAGCAAGTCACATTTTTGTAATAAAGGCTACCTCTGATGAGCAAATTTGGGTTATCTTTCCAAGGAAATTCACAGTGCATTTTCGGATTTTTTTTTTTTTTAAGGGAACAAACATCGATTAATCATCGATTCCATGTCAGATACTAGGCTAGGGGGTTTCACATCAATTGTTTTAACTAATCCTCTCTACAAATACAAGAAACAGGTGTGATCATCACGCCCAATTTACAAACAAGGAAACTTAGGCACAGAGGGGGTAAAGTCTGACTTCAAAGTTTCCCAGATGTCTAGTGATAAATTAACCATACAGTGGAAGAAGCTGCAACTGCAGGGCCCCTCGCTAAGACATGCCCTTGAAAGACTCGGGGCACAACCCTCACATTTCTGCATGACCTTCTCTGAGCTTAGACCTCAGACAATCCAGGTCTGCCCCTGCCAGTTTCATCACTCTCAAAGGACAAGGTTTTTGAAAGAATTGAAAATCTGGCAGGGTGTGGTAGCTCATGCCTATAATCCAGCACTCTGGGAAGCTGAGGCAGGAGGACTGCATGAGCTCAAGAAGTCAAGACTAGCCTGAGCAAGAGTGAGACTCCATCTCTCCTAAAAATAGAAAAACTAGCGGGGCATTATGGCAGGTGCCTGTGGTTCCAGCGACTCAGGAGGCTGAGGCAGGAGAATCACTTGAGCCCAGGAGTTTGAGGTTGCTGTGAGCTATGATGCCACAGCACTCTATCCTGGGCAATAGAGTGAGACTCTTTAAAAAAAAAAAAAAAAAAGGAAGAAAGAATTGAAAATCCTAACCTTTCAGGGCCAGACGCAGTGTCTCACACCTATAATCCCAGCACTTGGAAGGCCAAGGTGGGTGGATTGCCTGAACTCACAAGGTCAAGACAAGCCTGAGCCAGAGTGAGACCCCATCTCTAAAAGTAGCTGGGTGTTGTGGCAGGCCCCTGTAGTCCCAGCTACTCAGGAGACTGAAGCCAGAGAATGGCTTACCCCCAACAGTTTGAGGTTGCTTTGAGTTGTGATGGCACAGCACTCTACCAAGGGCAACAAAGTGAAACTCTGTCTCAAAAAAAAAAAGAAAAGAAAAGAAAAGAAAATCCTAAACTTTCACTTGTTAAATAACAAGTAACCAGTTGTTTCCATTATTGTGCACAGAGCTATGAGTTTTCAGTGCTTGGTTTCCTATATTTCATGTCTCAAATATAAAAGGCTGAAGACATTGCACCATAAAACTAAAGGGACAATACCTCCAACAAACTCCAAAAGCCTTGCCCATTCATCAGCTATGAATTGACTCCCAGAGAGTTTCCAAAAAATATAGATTTTGTCAAGCCTTTTCTTATCTGAAAACCCTTTGCTGGCTCCTCATTGGTTAAGATAGTTCAGGTCTTTTCACGTTTGGCCTTTGCAGAGCTGTTCTTCTGCCAGAATCATCTTACCTTATGGGTTAACTCTTGGCCCTCTGGTTTCGATCTTATGCATCACCCTTCCAGGAAGCCTCACCTGAGGGGTCCCCCGCCTCCCTGCCCCGCCCTAGGTCTCAGCCTGGAGCCCTTGGGTGCTTTTCACATTGTACTCTAACGTTCGTATCACAACTGTCACAACTTGTCACACTGTATTGTGGTTTATCTATTTAGATATCTGTATCTGTCAATGGACAGTAAACTTCTCAAGGCAGAAACTGCATTGTACTAATTGTTATAGACTCGGCATCTTGATGTCCAACACATAGCAGGTCCTCCCTGGATGAGTTCTGTTGGAATCTAAGAATCTGAAGTGATCAGTGGAACAGTCACCATTTAGTCCTTTACCCTGGGCCAGTGCTAGCTTATGCATCATATATAATTTCTTCCTTAATCCTTATATCAACCCTACAAGGGAGAACACCACAATCATTGCCATTTTAGATGAGAGACTGAATGTTTACAAAGGTTTATAACACAACTGGCCCAAGGTCATAGGAAAGGAAAAAATCAGGACTTTGACTTCAGCTTGGGGCTTTGAATCACTACCAATGTTACTTGAACACCCAAATATTTCCTCTGAATTTATCTTAACCCCCAAATTGCAAAGAACATTCACGCTAGCCAGAAGAGAGGCGAGCGGACCAGAAACCCAGTTTGTTACCAGGCCCACAGGCTGATGGACGCCCCTGGAATTTCAGACTGGCTCACCAGTTTGATGTTTAAAGCCTGCAGTGATGGTGCATTTAGCAGCACATATTGAGTTGACAGATGGACAGGGGTGACAAGGTCTTACTGTGTGGCCCAGATGGTCAGCCCAGCACCATCCTCAGCCCATGCCCCCTGCTCGAGCTCTGCGGGGTGCCGTACCTGCTTCTCCTCGCAATGCCTTCTCCAGCTGCACGCCCTGGATCTCGGACGCCCTCTGTTGTTCTTCCACCTCCTCCAGCTGCCTCTGGATGGCCTGCAACATCAGGGTCACACGTCACATGGGGGCCCTCCATGTGCAGGAGCAGATCTGCTCCTGTCCAGCAGGAAAAGGCCTATCCCCTCGTGACAGTTAACTGTGCAAGGACCCCAGGATTCCCAGAGGACTAGATTCGACATTCCCCTTCTTTAGGATGAAACACAGAGCAAGGAATCTGTGTGCATGTACAACCTGCCCCCAAGGAGATGTTAAAACATCCCTCTGACAAGGCCAATATAGGGATGTCCTCTAACACAGAGCCGTCTTCATGACTTTGGGACTTATCTTCAGAGCCCACAGCCTCTGACTATGGTCACGGGAATAATGACCTTGGCTGCAGCCACCCTACCCTGAGTACACTGGGGGCTCCAGGGGTAAACACAGAGTATGCTTATATTCTATTTTCCTAAGAACCACCAGCCAAGAAGTTGGTCTGATTAGAAGACGTGGGCCAACTCTTGGGGCTTGGCTTTCCTTTTCTAGATTGTCCTGCTCTCCTCCATGGCTACAAATTGCCCCTATTCTTTCCTTGTACCACACGTTCCTTCGTTATATAATAGAAGTGGACTATGACTCTGATACTGGCAGGTCATTAGGATAAGACACGAGATGTTCAACGCATCAGGGGACAACCTCAAGCTCTCTGTAGACTCACTCCAGGTACCTCGTGAGGGTTGGGCTCATGACTTGGTTTGCATTCACATACTTACTTCCCCACTAGCTATGACTCTCGTATAAACCCAGGAAGGAAAGTTAGGGGAAAGCCTTTTCTACATACATTTTATTCACGCCAATCATCTCTGCTTTGAAACATGCTACTGAATGTCACATCCCTTGGCCAAAGAGAATTTGCAGCTAGTAGAGCAGGTGCATTACAGGCACAGAATGCCTGTGCTCCTCTTCTGCCTACTCTAACCCTGTCTCACTCCCCTGCCTCCTTAACCCCACGTCCCACGTTCCTAGCGGAGGCCCTTCAAACCTGGGAAAGAGCCAGTCAGGGGTGGAGTCTGCCTCTTCTTGTCCCAGCTATGAGTATTTAACCCCAAACATAAACTCTGCACCATAGATGAGAATGCTCTTTAAAACAACTTGTAATTTTATGCTCTTGTCCTCTCTTGTCTCTCTTTTCAAGACAATGATATCTTTATAAATCCATCTCTTGCTGACTCAGTGTAGGGTTGCTAACTGCAAAACAGTTAAATGACTTTATCACTCACTACTATGCACTACAGCTATAGGGTCATTACAGAGTGAATTGTGCTCCCTCCCCACCAAATTCATACAATGAAGTCCTAATCTACAGTGTGAGTGCATTTGGAGATAGGGCCTTTAAGGAGGTAATTATGGTTAAATTAGGTCATTAGGGTAGGGTCCTAATCTGATAGGGCCATGTCCTTAAAAGCAGAGAGAGAGAGAGATACCAGAGATATTTCTGTCTCCCCACTTACTCAACACAGCGGAGGCCATGTGAGGACACAGCAAGAAGGTAGCTGTCCACAAGCCAGGAAGAGCGGTCTCACCAGACACCAACCCAATGGCACCTTGATCCTGGAGTCTCCAGAATGTGAGGAAACTAAATTTCTGCCATTCAAGTCACCTGTCGGTGGCATTTGTTATGGCAGCCCAAGCAGCCTAGTACAGTGGTCATTCTTTATGAACAAAGGATAAAAGGCTCACAGAGTAAAAAGGGCTGGTGGTGCCAACAGGGGAGAATTCAAAGGGCCACTGTGATTCATCTCTCGTTACCACCTACTCTTTGCAGTGAAAATATAAGAAAAAGAAATTGCACAGTTTGCCAATCAATATCATAAACTTGTCTTGTTTTTAGAAGAAAAAGTTGAAATGTTTTAAGGAAATCTATTTTAGAAGTTGCAAGTGGATGGGGATTTATAGGAAATTTCCTCCTCCACTACATGAAAAAGTGACTCCTGAATCCACCACTAGGAAGGGAAAAGGAGGTTGGATTAAATGATTTCATTCTTGTCAGGAATCACCTTGAGGACCCCTTAAGGGACAGATGACAGGAATAAGTGGAGGGATTTATAAAGGTGCATTGGACTAAGCACGCTCATTCTAAGTCCTAAGCCCAACTGTCCTTCAAGACCAAGTTCAGGGTTCTCAGGAGAGAATACCTGGACTTCCTGTTTCACTTTGCCTGTCTGTGACAGAGGAAGGCCGGTCAACTTGGGCAGAATTGTTGGACGTAAGCAATCAGGCGAGGAAATCTATGTTGGAATACTGGATACTTGTAATTTCAACTAACTTTGAAATGGAGACACCCCTTAACAGTTGTCAGTTTATCAAAGACACAGTCAAGGAGACAGTGGAAGGTTTATGTCCTCACAGAGGATAAAAATTAAGGTCACTGTGGCAGTGAGGGTCAGGATGATTCCCAAGGCCTTGCTCTGGCCTCTGTCCTAGCTTCACTTTGCAGATGGGGAGGTGGCTAAGAATAGCCAGCTCAGCCCCTGGGCTCTCCAGGTCCCAGCCCCACCAGGGATTGAGTCATGGCCATTGGTATGGTTGGCCACAAACCTGGTCCCTCAGATAAGAGAGCCTGACCTTACTCCAACTTGTCCCCTTGTTATAATGCAGACTCTCACAGCCCTCTTCCATCCAGATCTCCAGGACCCCAGACAGGACCAGGCCTGCTCATTTCCCGTTTCCTGACCTGAGCCTTATAGAGTCTTTTCAATTCTTCTTGCTTAACCAATTGCTTCGTTGCTTTTTCCAGCTTCCGTCGTCTCCTCAGTGTCTTCTTTTCCTATAAAAACCAGTGGAGAAGGAAAAAACGTCTCAGAAAAATGTGGTTGGAATTCATAAAATATTACCCTAACCTTCTGTCCTCACCAACAATGGCTCCTAACCACTGCTTAGCTGCTAGGATAATGACATCCAGGAGGACTTTCTGCAGTGATGGGAATGACTGCTATCTTTGCTATTTAAAATATGGAAGGCGCCAGCCACATGTGGCTGTTGGACACTTAAAATGAAGTGAGCATAAGGAACAAATTTTAAAATTTTACTAGATTTTAACGAATTGAAGTAGCCACATGTTGCTACAGGTACCAGATTGGGAAGTTGGTATGTGTGTATATATATGTGTGTGTGCGTGTGTGTGTATAGAGGTGTGTGTATAGGAGGTCTATAAATAGGAGTTGCTTTATAGCATGTGAACTAGATTTAGTTGAGAGAAGGAATCATAACAACAATTATCCTTTACATTGGTGCTACCATACAGCCCAAGGGTGAGGAGCCTGGGGGACACAGGCAGGCAGGCAGACAGACACACACACACTCTCTCACTCCACGAAAACCAGTTAATAACTTTAAACAGGACTCAGGTTGAGTTTCCAGTGCCTAATGAAACTTGGTACTAGAGCTGCAGTTCTCAACCCACAGGAACGGTATTAAAGGACTGCAGCATTAGGAAGGTTGAGAACCACTGTACTAGAGGAATGGGTCTAAATATTAATAATTCAAACCAAAGTGTTTCTTGGCCTGAGATCATTCTCCTTCCCTACTTCACTTTGCTTATACAGATTCACTGGGTTTTGTGTGTTCTTGGACTTGTTTTAAATAATGCAATATTGATGCATGTAAAATAGATGTCTGTGCTCCATGTCTATAGCTCAGCAGCTAGGGCACTGGCCATATACACCAGGGCCGGCAGGTTCAAAGCCGGTCCAGGCCTGCTAAACAACAATGACGACTACAACAAAAAAACAGTTAGGTGTTGTGGTGGGCACCTGTAGTCCCAGCTACTTGGGAGGCTGAGGCAAGAGACTCGCTTAAGCCCAAGAGTTTGAGGTTGCTGTGAGCTGTGACGCCATAGCACTCTACCAAGGGGTAACACAGTGAGACTCTGTCTCAAAAAAAAAAAAAATAGATGTCTGGATTTTAATGGTGCCACTTCCTGGTTTTAAGCACCAGAAAAAGGAAAAGTGAGGGTGTGGCCAATTCTACACATTGGAAAGTTCAGGACACAATTCTGCTCAGGAAAACAGTGGAGAGGAATGTGTGAGCCCAGGAGCTGGGCAGAGCTGGCCTCAGGGCCCAGCTGGGCATTTCAGAGTCCTCTTCAGGTGGTGAGGCTGTGATGGCTACCTTTCAGGCATACAACAAGGACTAAATGAGATGACACAGGCTAAGTTCTTTGCAGACACTTGAACAGATATGAGGTCCTCAATAAACAGCATGATTTTTATTATTACTAGTATGTCTACTGTACTATACTGTTCTATTATAAATTAGCATGATTATAAGTTTTTACTAAAAGCCATTATTTTTAATCCAGGTGCAAGTAGGTATAATCTATGTATATACGCACATCCTGTATATACAAAGTAAATGTTCCAGCTGGGCTAGTTTTACTCTCGACTTGCCTTCTCTGAGTTCATGTTCTCACATTAACATTCTACATATTACATATATAACATTCTACATATTAGTACGCTAGAGGTTTCTATTTAATGCTGGCAGAAACAAATGTGGAATTTAAAAATTATTGTAGCTAGCCTGGTGCCTGGGCATTCAATAACTATGGTTGAACTGAATCAAATGTTTATAAAGCCCTAGTGGGGAGTAGAGAACTAACAGGTCTGACCCTTGATATTTCCAGAGCAATCTGGGTCCAAAAACAAAGGTCAGAGATTAGACCCTGAAAGCACCTGTGTTCCAGGGCTTTCTGAATCCTTATCATTTTGTCCTTCATCCTATGGAGATAAATGGAGAAACTATCCCTCTCCTTAAGAAAACGTCCAGGCATTAGGACCTCTACAGATTAATGGTGAAAACATTAGTCTCAAGCATCAAGCTCTGTTTTCTAGAGTTCTCCTTAGGATTTAGAATCCTAAAGATCTTCATCCTTGAAAGAAATTTCGGTTCTCAAAACTCAGCTTATTTCACATCTTATTACCTCTGTTACTGGGGATGACATCCAGATTGGCTGTCAATCACTCTGAATGGATATTCTAAGCTTTTCGCACAGGAGACTCCTCCATTAGGCAGCTCAGACTTTGCTGGATGGTTAGGGTCAGGGGAGACGGTGGGTATCAGTGGTAGCTGTCATCCAGAGATTGTCTAACTCAGCCTATGTGGAGAGTCCGTTCATTCATTTACTATCTCCAGCTTCCATCATGCTAACCTCCACAATCAACCCTACTGTTTATTGAGTGCTATGTGTCGGTCGCTGTACCAATCACTTCACATGTATCATCTCATTTAGTCCTCAAATTGCACTTAATTTTATAGATAAGCAAACCAAAACTCAGGGAAGTAAGTGACTTGCCCAAGATGATGCAATTAGTCATGGGTTGGGCCAGGCACGAAGCACAGGTAGCCGAGCCTCGTACCCACATTTCATCTGGTTTATGCGGCTTCTCCTCATGCTAGAAACTGTTCAGGCACAACAAGGACCTTTGACAGTGGATCCCACAGAGACGTCAACGTTTCCCCCAAATGAAGACCACTTCATACGATGCCAAGGGAGGGTGCCTCGACAGCTTCATGCCGTCTCAGAGCTGCTCAGCAGCTGTCAGGCTCCACTATTTGATCAAGAGTCAGCAAAACAGAACCTGGAGGAGAAAAGTCATCTCTTGCCTTTTATTAAAAAGATGTTGGCATGGCAAACGAGAGTGCTTTAACAGAGACTCGTACGGTCTTCCAACATGCCAGGCACAGCGCTTACATCCTCAACGGTGGTAAAGGGGCTAGGGGCTGAGGAAGGAAAGACACAAGGGAGGAAGAGGCAGAAACTACTGAGTCAAGGACAGACTGCTATGTCTCTCCCGGGACGGGTCTCCCAGATCCAGGTGTCAGGGTGGGAGGAGAGGCACTGGTGGGAGGGGTGAGGCACAGGGAGCAGGCAGAGAAGAGGAGGTTTGTCTCCACCTTCCTGTGCAAAGGTTCATTTCAGGGGCTCTGTGCCACCTGGCTTGGGATATACACACCTGCATGGGACAGAGAGACAAAGAAAGCAGAGGACAAAACCCTCCCCTCCCTCCTTCAGTGTGAGCCCCCAAGAAGTTGTATAGGGAATTAAATCCTCTTGCCAGCTTCCCTTCCTGCAGTGCTGGCCACATCAGAAGCCAGGTGAAGCAGGCAGGCTTTACCACCTGGCAAGCCTAAGTAATGACTGGCTCCGCGCTGGGCCAGAAGGACAAGGAGCTGTTTGTGAGGGTGGGCCTTGACACCGCAGTCCTGCTGTTTTGATGTGTTTGGGCAATGCTATTCATTTATTCTCATGCTATTCATTTATGAGAATCAAAGATGACTGACGCTGAAATCTCAGTCTCATTTGAATGCAGAATTAACTCAGAGTCTCTCAAGGGGGTGAGGGGCCAGTAAGAAAACCCCGTAACCAGAATTCATTTGTGTTGAGTACTAAATTAATCAGAGATGCCCACAGTTAGAAATGAGAAATCCTTATATGTTCCTCCACTCCTCACTCCTCTTTCTCTGTTCTCTCTCTCTCTCTCTCTCTCTCACACACACACACACACACATCCCAGACCCCTCCTTCTTTGCTCACAGCTGGGCCATGGGGAGTTGGAACCCCTGAGTTACTTGAGATGATGCCAAAGCTACTAACACCAGATATGGAAAAGTTGAGTCCAAGTAAATAAATTTGGTTCTCCTCTTCCCTCCCCAGATCCTCACTGCTCCAAAAAATAAACACTACCAGTGCAGTGAACCACTTCTCTGTCCACCCGGGAAGCATTTCAGGGCCAACCATTCAGTCCCATCCGCCCTCCACTGTCCCAGTGAAAAAGCTCCAGCCCTCGTGGGTAAAGAACACCACAGAGGGCTCTGGTGTTGGGACGCTCATTGGTGTGAATGAGATACACAGACACATTTGCAGACCTCTAACGGTGCTTGTGTGTTCTTTCTATGGGTAGAGAATTGTTTAAACAGTTCTCCAGAAACGTTAATGCTCACAAAGCAAAGGGACAGGCGTCTCCCAGCCAGCACACGGCTTCTCCCTCCCACAGTAGGGATCCTTGGAGTGCCACGTCTAGATGCAACGGCATGGTTCATTTCATATATCTGATTAGAATAAACATAACATCGTCCATGCAATCTGCTTCTAGTACCTCTTAAATGAAGCTGTGCTTCCCCCAGGGAAATATGCATCTGCTTGTTGTAATATTTTCGATGGTTTGCTTGTTGGACTACATATTAAACCCACTTTAAGAGCTGTAGTCACCAAATGGTTCCAAGGAAAGATGCCTGTTTTCTTTTTTTTTCTCCCCAATTTGGGTCCCTGAGAAAGACGAGCTTCTAAAAGTTGTTATTTTAAGGAGATAATTTTCAGCCTGCTCCAGGTAAAAAGAGCACGCTGTCCAATGCCATGGAACACAATGCACCTAAGAAGCCCCCGCAGCTGGAGCCCACATGGGGTCTGAATTCTGGATGGTAAACGGCCCCCACCAGCCAAGGCGGTCTGCGGTTGGCCAAACGTTGTTACCTTTGACTGGGTGGAAAGCTCGAGATCGAATTCTTCATCTGCAGAGGAGGAGCTGGTTGAAGAAGCAAAAGAGGCCGCCTCTGTTCCTTGTGCTCTGACGGGGAGGTGTGTGAAGCCTGAAATGCAAACAGAAAAACTCACGGACCTGCTGGCTTCATTTCCTGCTTCATGAACCAAAGCTCCTCTTCGTCTTTCCCTGCGTACCCTCATCCCCTTCCTCCCCATTCCCCACTCCCTGCACCTGCCGTGGCAGGAGAAGGCGATACCTAAGGGCAACTGAAAATTTGGCCTTCCACGTTAATTACATTTCTGGGTCCCTGCCAAGAGCTTTACAGCTCTCTTTTCACATTAAAACACACACACACACACACACACACACACAAGGTATTATGCAGAAATCAATTAATTCCTTAAACACCATTTATATGGTGTCTTCCTCAGAACGCATTCAGAAAGGAAATCTATTATTAAAAATGCACGTCTGAAGTTAGCTGAGTTACCTAAATGCCTGTGTAAGGTTCATTCTGCAGAGTAATTGAATGCAAAAAAAGTTGGAGCCAGCTCTTAAACAAATCGCCCTTCTGCGGCTCACAGCATCTGGCACCCATTTTTACTACATGACATCTGCTCAGTGTAAAAGAGCTGGCGTCAGAATGTCTGGTCATAGAAAAAAAAAATCCCAAATGTAATCAGAAGCAAAAGGACTCTAAGCCTAAGGTTTTATCACATAGTCTCATGCAACATAAATATTTCATTAATTATGGCTAAACAAATGCCATTTTTATTTTCCCAACTTGAAGATATTATCACATCATTGAAGTGATGCTTCGAATGCCAAGAAAGGCAGCTTAAGATAGAGATGGCTCAACAATGCAGGGCCCATGGGAGAGTTGAAGAGGAGGAGACATGCCAACCTCTGGCTAGAGGCAGCAAAGTGTCCATGTTAACTGGCTGGGTACCATGTGTGATAAGATCTTCCAGGTGCCACAGGAGGCTTTCATTCTTTGCAGCAAGAACATCTGCCCTTAGACATCAACTAGAGTTAATGATTAATATCTGGATTAGCTTACTCTGGATAGAACCAGCTAAGACTCCATGATAGGAAATTTACCAATCTTAATCTGCCATGGCAGCTTGTACATAGGGAGAAAGTAGAAGAAATTCCAAGTCAACTAACATTCTTTGCAACCTGCCTTCTCCTCCCCATAATTTTCAACTATTCACCCCAGTGGGAGGGGCCAAGTTCTACAAAATAAGGGTACTTTCAGGCCCCAGGAGCACATTCACATATGCTGTTATTTAAGGCAAAATAATCCAAAACATCTATATAATAACACAGTTTCTCTGGGGAGGGAGTTCACTGTTTTCCACTTTAGTTTGCCAGATGGGAAAGCTCAGGTAAAGATAGAATCAGAGAGCAGAAGAATAATGGGAGGAACACTGTTAAGGGTGAGCTGAGATTGTTTCCAGTTCCAGCCACTAACTTACCACTGAGTAATTTAGTCACTGAGTCACTTCTTAGTGTGTGAACTTGAGGAACTAATTTTACCTCCCTGAGTTTGTCAGGATCATGATCTCTACCTTGCAGAATTATTGTGGAGAAGTAAAGATAATCAGTATAAAGCATCTAACACGGTGCCTGGTACATTGGAGGTGCTTAAGTAAATGGTGTTGTGAGCAGCAGCACCAGCAACTACTTCATCATCATCATCACTGATCCAGATCAATAATACTGCAATATTAGTAATACTGCCTAATTCACCTTTATGGTAAAGTATAAACCTAAACCTGAAACTTTTTCTAACTGTCAAAAAATAAATGTTGCCATTGCATTTCATTTTGAAGAAAATGCTTTTAAATATAATGTATTTCTTAAACCTGTGGCAAAAAAGAATTTATGTAGTTGCCTCTGAGTCTCTTGTTCGATACTCTCTCCATCATAGTACTAACCATTCTAGGAGCTCACCTTTTCTTTGCAAAGTTTTAGAAACTTTGCAGCATTGTTCTACTCTGGCTATTGAGTCTGGAATTCATCTACCACCCTAAAGCTCTGGAAATCATGACAAAATATATAAAACTGGACAACAGACAGTACAGAATTGTGATAAAGGCAAGAACAGAAGCAGATAAAGGAAGCTTTATAATCACAATAGCTTTCTTCCTAGAAGCCCTTTCCAGACCACAGCATAGGTAAGAACAGTCTAAACAAAGCATAATAAACACATTAAGTTCAAAAGATAGATCAAAGTTTGGGAAGCTGAGCCAGCTGGATTGTATGGGTGAAAGTACTGGAGAGGAGGGTGCTTTGCAAGGAAGAATTTCAGAAATAAGCATGGAAGTCCCCTTGAATCTATTGATTAATAGAAAGCTATAGATGTATAGAGAGAAATTTCATAATGTTGAGCAAATAACTGCTGGGAAGTTGTAGGCAAAACAACCTCTAAAGCTTTCATAGGGCTGAGAGATGTTCAAGTTCTACCTAGCTAGGGAAGAACATCTGAGGCATTAGTACAGATGACAGAAGAATCAGTGGGAATATACTGTCCCTTGAGTTTACCTTATTGTCCCTCAAGATTTTTATAGATTTACCTGAACAAAGCTTAAAAGAAAACCTTGATAGAGGCTTGGCGCCTGTGGCTCAAGTTGCTAAGGCTCAAGCGGCTAGGGCGCCAGCCACATACACCTGAGCTGACGAGTTCGAATCCAGCCTGGGCCTGCCAAACAACAATGATGGCTGTAACCAAAAAAAAAAAAAGAAACAAAATAGCTGGGCACTGTGGTGGGTGCCTATAGTCCCAGCTATTTGGGAGGCAGAGGCAGGAGAATCACGTAAGCCCAGGAGTTGGAGGTTGCCATGAGCTGTGATGCCACGACACTCTACCCAGGGCAATAGCTTGAAGCTCTGTCTCAAAAAAAAAAAATTAAAAAAAAAAAAACCTTGAAAGAAACAAAGTAATGTGAAGTTACTTTACTGTCAGCCAAGTATTCTTTACTGCCTATTTAACATTCTTTAAATAAAGATCTAGACAATCTAGAATGTAATATTCATGAAACTTAGCAATTGGTAAACAATTACTAGATATGCAGGGTGGACATAAAGTTTGTGTGCGATTTACTATATTAAACTATTTTAAATTGGACATAAACTTTATGTCCACCTTCTGTAAGAAAGTAGGACAATTTTGATAATCAAGAGAAAAATCAGTCAATAAAAGCAGACCCAGAAATGACAGATATGATGGAATGAGCACACAAAGATTTTTTTTTTTTTTTTTTTTTGAGACAGAGCCTCAAGCTGTCCCCCTGGGCAGAGTGCCGTGGCATTACAGCTCACAGCAACCTCCAACTCCTGGGCTCAAGCGAGTCTCCTGCCTCTGCCTCCCAAGTAGCTGGGACCACAGGCGCCCGCCACAACGCCCGGCTATTTTTTGGTTGCAGCTGCCATTGTTGTTTGGCGGGTCCGGGCTGGGGATTCGAACCCGCCACCTTAGGTGTACGTGGCTGGCGCCTTAGCCGGTTGAGCTATAGGCGCCGAGCCAGCACACAAAGATTTTTAAATAACTAATAAGAATGTGTTCAAGAATTTAAAAAGAAGTCCACCCAAAAACTGTTGGAATGAATAAACAAATTCAGTAAGGTACAGGCTACAAAATTAGCATACAAAATTAGTAACATCTCTATACATTAACAGCTAACTACCTGAAAAAGAAATCAAGAAAACAACCCCATATACAAAACTAACCCCCCCCCCCAAAAAAAACCTTAGGAATAAATTTAACTAAGGAGGTGAAAGACCTTTATACAGAAAACTATAAAACATTTATGAAAGGAATTGAGATAAATGGAAATAAATAATAGAAAGATATAAAAAGATATCCCATGTTCATGGATTGGGAGAATTAAAATTGTTAAAATGTTCATATTACCCAAAACAATCTATAGATTTGATATAATCCCTATCAAAATTCCAAAGACATTTTTCCACAGAAATAGAAAAAAAAAACCCCAAATTCCTATGGAACCACAGAAGACCCCAAATAGCCAAAGCAATCATGATCAAAAAGAATAAAGCTGAAGGTATCACCCAGCCTTACTTCAAAATATGCTACAAAGCTATAATAATAAAAACAGCATGGTGCTGGCATAAAAACAGACATATAGATCAGTGGAACAAAAAGGAGAACAAAGAAATAAATCTATGCATTTATGGCCAACTGATTTTTGACAAAAATGTCAAGAACATAGTTGTGAAAGGACAATATCTTCAATAAAAGGTACTGGGAAAACTGGATATCCACATGCAGAAGAAAGAAATTAGATCCTTATCTCATACCTTATACAAAAATCATTCAAAATGGATTAAAGAATTAAATATGATGGGACTTTGTAAAGTTTCTGGAAGAAAGTTCCATGACATTGGTCTGAGGCTGGGCAATAATTTCTTGGATAGGATCCCTAAAGCACAGGTAATAAAAGCAAAAATAGACAAATGAAATTACATCAAGCCAAAAAGCTTGTGTCCAGTGAAGGAAACAATCAACAGAGTGATAATAACCTACAGGATAGGAGAAAATATTTGTAAATCATATCACATAAGGGGTTAATATCCACAATATATAAAGGAGTCAAACAACTCAATAGCAAGAAAACAAACGACCCAGTTAAAAAATGGGAAAGGACCACTTTAAGATATCATCTAACCCCAGTGAGAATGGCCCACATCACAAGGTGCCAGATCAGCAGAGGCTGGCACGGGTGTGGAGAGAAGGGAGCACTCATGCACTGTTGGTGGGATGACAAACTGGTGCGGACTCTGTGGAAAGAAGTATGGAGAGTCCCCAGTGAACTAAAAGTATATCTACCATGTGATCCTGCAATCCCATTACTAGGTCTCTACCAAAAAAAAAAACATTTTACCATAAGGACATTTGCACTCGAATGTTTATAGCAGCACAATTCACAATTGCAAAGGAGTGGAAGCAATCCACATGCCCTTACAACACATGAATGGATTAATAAACCAGTATCTTATGTTACAACCTAGATGGATTTGGAGAACATTGTCCTAAGCCAAGTATCACAAGAATGGAAAAGCAAGCATCACATGTACTCGGTA